TATGTTTTAATTTGAGTACAGCGTATGTAATAATATTCGAACGTTTATTATCAAATAATTAAAAATATTTCGAACATACTACCTTGCACTCTCTTTATATTTATAAAAAAAATCTCACTTTCACTGGCGTGATAAATGTGTTAATCCAAAATTTCATATAAACTAAACTTTAAAAAAGGAAAACTACTTAAAAATGGAATGAGGGGTTTGGAGCACACGCGTCCGTAAAATAGGGCGTTGGCCGTTGGGGAAACTGAGGCTGTAAAATGCTCTGCTAAAAATACAATAAGAAAGTTGTTTGTTTGAACTTTGAAGCAGTCTTTTTAGCTCCTTTTTTTACCCTAATTTTTTTGTTTTAGACTTCCATTTTTTTTACTTTGATGTAAAAAAAACTCAATACTTTTAGATTACAAGAACTCAATTTCCCTCCCCCAAAATATTTTTTTATTGAAAACACAATACTTAATCATTTTTAGGACAGATTAAACTAATGAATAAAATTTACACCCATCACTTGATTTAAATTAAATTTCATAAATTTTTTTTTATAAAAAAAATATAAACTAGATATAGATTGGTTTTTCAAGAGGAAGTTTGTTAAAATTTATTTTTAAAAATGATTAGGTGAAAATATATATTGTGAATACTTTTATTTTATTAATTAAATTTAAATTTGTTTATTATTAATATTAAAAATGCATGTCAACTAATCTCTCCAAAGAAAAAAAATCTTGAATATGAAAACTAACAAAAAATAAATAAAATAATATAAAAGGTTTTAATGATAATAAATATTCTTAGTGCTTGACTAAATAGTTATTTTATCCTCTACTGCTATTTGATAATATTCTGACCTTCAACATTTTATTTTGGAAAAAAATTCTTATTTGAATGAAAATTGTTAGTATACAAATAGTTAATGCTTCAAAATAATTTTTTTTTGCACTAAAACGAAATATTAGGGCTAATATGCTATAAAAATAAGGGCCAAAATAACTATTTAATTAAATGTTAGGAGTTTTTTATCTTAAAATACAATATTAGAGATTAAAGTGCTCTAAAAAATGAGTAGAGATGAAAATTATTATTAATTAAATATTTAGAGTATTTTCTGATATTATACCAAAATTAGAATAAACAAACAAACAAAAAATGAATAAGCGGTTAGGACGCTCTGAGAAGGCGCGTAGGATAACGCAAGGGGATGCGTTGCATTTCCTTATAGTTGAACGTCCCAAACTGCTCTCCTTGCGTGCATGCAGAAATCTAATAATTTTTGTTTCCTTCTGAAACAATAAAACCCAAAATTCTCGTTATTATTCACTCCCTAAATAACAGAAAAGGAAGTGAGTGAAATATATTTGCAGTTTCTCTACTACTGGGAATTACGATTAATCACCATGTCTGTTCAATCGGTGGTTACTGTGGCGGCTTCGCCGGCTTCATTGTACGTTGGAGACTTGCACCCCGACGTCTCCGACGCTCATCTCATCGAAGCTTTCTCTGAGTTCAAGAGCTTGGCCTCTGTTCATGTCTGTAGGGATTCTTCTACCGGGAGATCTCTTTGCTATGGCTATGTCAACTTCATTTCTCCTCGGGATGGTATTCCAGATTTCTTATGACCTTGTTTTTTTTTTTTTTTTTGCTCTTTTCTTCTTCTTTTAAAGAGTTCTGTTTGGCAGTGGGATGATGTGCAATGTTTAGGGTTTGGAATTTTGGCTTTTGATCTCGTTTGATCTTCGATAAACTTTCTGTTCGATAGATTTCGAAAGCTCTATCAAGACCCATGTTTAATGCTTATCTTAGTTTCGATCGATGAAAATATACTAATACTCTGAAGAGTAAAGTTTCAGTGTAACAATCTTTACGTTACACTCACCAGATTCAACTCAAGAACGCTTGTTTTCTGGTATTGGAATCATGTTTTATTTTCACTGATATTTTTTAAACCTTGGTTTGATTTATTAAAATTGATCATTTATCTTCTTCCATTACTGTGTTGGTATGTTTATTTTTTGGTTGAAATTTTTTATATGAGCTTCGTCTTTACAATGTTTTATTTTGTTCTTCTGATTTAACTAGCACAACATGCTATTGAGGCCAAAAATCATACTTTGCTGAAGGAGAAAATGATGCGGGTGATGTGGTCACTTCGAGATCCTGATGCAAGAAAAAATGGGGTTGGAAATGTGTTCGTTAAGGTTTAAATCTTCCCATTCGCTTTAATGGATATATTAATTAAGAATTCATTTTGTTTTTGTTTTGTTTTGTTTTTCCCATTACTGGAATTTTGAATGTGAAATGCATTTGGTGTATCTGTTCATATCAGAATCTGAGTGATTCAATTGATAATGTGGGGCTCCAAGAGTTGTTCCGACAGTTCGGAAATGTAATATCTTGCAAAGTTGCAACCTTTGAGGATGGTAAGAGTAAAGGTTATGGCTTTGTTCAGTATGAGTCGGAGGGATCTGCAAATGCTGCTATTGAGAAGCTTAATGACACCATTGTTGGGGATAAGCAGATGTATGACAATTCCTAATCGAACTTTCCATGTTTTGATTCTCAGCTCTGGAAATTTAATCATTTCTTTTTGGCACAGATATGTAGGGAAATTTATGAAAAAGAGTGATCGGGTCTTGCCAAGTCCTGATGTCAAATATACAAATCTGTATATCAAGGATTTAGATTCGAATATCACAGAAGACACTTTGCAAGAGAAATTTTCCGAGTTCGGGAAAATCGTTAGCCTGGTTGTAGCAAGGGATGAAAATGGAGCCTCAAGAGGTTTTGGCTTTGTGAACTTTGAAAATCCAGATGATGCTAAGAAGGCCATGGAAGTGATGAACGCATCACAATTCGGTTGTTTTTTCTATCCCCTTTTTTTAGCCTTAATTAATGTCAGCAACTAACTCATACACTTATTTTGGTCTATGGTTATATTTTTATTGAGTAGGCTCAAAGGTTATATATGTAGCAAGGGCACAGAAGAAAGCAGAACGGGAGCAAATACTGCGTCATCAGTTTGAGGAAAGGCGAAAAGAGCAGATCATGAAGTATAAAGTATGCCTGATCTCGTTTCTGGACTGGATGTAATTCATTATCTGTTTATGTCATTTACCATATTTTTGTATCTGTGTCCATATTTCAGGCTTCGAATGTTTATGTGAAGAATATTGATGATGAAGTGACTGATGAAGAACTGAGAGAACACTTCACTCAGTGTGGAACCATTACTTCTGCAAAACTTATGCGAGACAACAAAGGACTAAGCAAGGGGTTTGGATTTGTCTGTTTCTCTTCTCCTAAGGAGGCTGCTAAAGCTGTTAACACATTTCATGGTATGTTAATGAGTCTTTAATGGTGGAAACTCGAATGAATTTATCTTAAAGAGTCGCTTGGACCTTGCATCTCAAGTTTCCGGTACAATTTTGAAGTTGTTGATGATATCACTCTCTTATTTTAAGGATACAAGTTTCACCACAAGCCATTGTATGTCGCTATTGCTCAAAGGAAGGAGGATAGACAAGCTCACTTGCAGCTTCAGTATGCACAGCGAATGGCTGGACTAGCAGGGCCTTCCACAGCTATTTTCCCTGGTGGATATCCTCCAGTTTACTACACAGCTCCAACTGGTGTTCTTTCACAACTACCTCCACGGCCAGGTGTGATGTACCAACCTTTAGGTTTGAGGCCAGGACGGAGGGTCAATGGTTTTGCACTGCCAACCAGACCAGCCTTTCAACCACCATCACTGCCTATGGTATTTATTCGTCCTCAAGTCATTTCATTGGCACGTACCATTTTAATGAGTATATTAGTGGTTCAATCTACTAATCCAATACTTTGTACTGTAGGTTACTGGAAATCCAACACAAACTAGGCAAAACCAGGGGCGAATGAATGGACATACTCTTCCGCAGGGTGCTTCTCATTCTGTCACATATGTGCCACAACTGCAACCACTAAATCAAAATATGATTTCTTCCAAGGATCAAAGTAACCTACAGGTTTTTTTCTTTCCTTTTCCTTTTCCTTTTCCTTGTATATACACACATTATTACACAAGTATCTGATCCCTTTGTTCACCTCACGTGCACGACCATATACACTGTTATACATGTTCAAGCTATATATCAAGATAGCTTGCCCTGATCCCTTCGAACTACATTTTGCAGAGGGGTGGGCAAGCTAAGTATTGCTCACCTCACGTGCACGACCATATACACTGTTATACATGTTCAAGCTATATATCAAGATAGCTTGCCCTGATCCCTTCGAACTACATTTTGCAGAGGGGTGGGCAAGCTAAGTATGTACCAAATGGACGTGCACGAGAGGAGAACAAAGGGTCTAGAGTCCCACAGTCGGCTTTGAATTCTCTTGCAGCCATATCACAAGGATCTGAGATGCTAAGTAGCATGCTTGCTGCTGCTTCCCCTGAGCAGCAAAAGACTATACTTGGTGAACGACTCTACCCTCTTGTTCAGAAACACCAGGTGATTCCGGATTTTTTTTTTATAATCAGAGTTTCTATATACATATACATACATACACACATATAATTTGATATGCACATTGTTGTTGCAGCCTGATCTGGTTCCGAAAATCACAGGGATGCTGTTAGAGATGGACAATGCAGAATTGCTACTTTTATTAGAGTCTCCAGAATCTTTGGCTGCTAAAGTGGAGGAAGCTGTGGAGGTTCTAAAGCTCTCAAATGCTAAAGTATCTGGTCAAGATGTTATTCACCCTAGTTTCCTCTCTGCCGAAGTTGCTGTCAACTGAAGCCTTAAAAAAAGGGGGCACTCAAAAATAAGCAATCATTACAGTATTTCAAAGTTCTTCTTGTAGGGATGTTTTTAGTTTCTGCTTTAATACTTTCTTATCATTTTAATGGACCTTTGCCATGTCTGTGAAATGTTCTTATCATTTTTATTTTGCATGATTTCATCATATGGTGGGTGTATGTTGTCTGCATGACTCAAATACTTCCATCTCCATTCATACAAAATCTGCATTAGTATATAGAGAAAAAAAAAAACTAGAAAGTAGAAAAATTGGTTACGGATCAAATCCTGCATTCTCTAGAGTGTAGACACATCCATGAATGGGATCAAGAGGGCGTTGGTTGACAATTACTGGCACTGCTTGATAGATCTCCCACAGCTATCCACGCCTTCGAAATACGAATAAAGAACCTCTAGAACCCTTTCCTAGTCTGATCGTCTCATCAACGTACGTGATCTGCAGCTTGACCTCACTCTCACCACCATACCGGAACTCCATTGCTCCGACCCTCAGTTCAGGCGACTCAAAAATTACTTGAATCCATTGCTTGTCAAGGACCTTTAGTTTTCCTGCACAAATCATGAATCGATATGTATTGGCAGAGTAGACATCCACAGTTTTGCATCGCATAAATTGACTAGGATTTTAGCTTGGCCACATGATTTGTGCCAAAATGAGAATGCCAAGTTTTCAGTCTCTTTGAAATTAGTTTTAGCCATGCTAGCTTAGGCAAGTTGATGCTAATTAATTTTAAACGCATCAAAGGTGAGGGTCCTCAAAACAGCAAAAGAATGGTTTGGGAATTCAAATACTATCAAGAAATGACAATTCATGTTGATGCAAGTTTGAACAGATAAGAACAATCTTATGGTGATAATTGGTAAATGGTAATCACTAGTAAATAATGACCTTTCAAGGAGACTTGTCCATCAAGAAACCCAAAAACAGAGAAGGAGACCTTGTTTCGGACGGAATCAGGAGCTTCAACAGTCTGAACCATTTCCTTGGTCTTGAAGAAGAGGCGCCCAAATGTACTTCTATAGCCGCCTCCTGGTGAGGTAGGATTCGAACAGTAAACCACACCCCAATCTGGGAAGTAAAAACACAAAAACCCCATGATTAAATTTGTTTGAATTTGGCATTGGTCCAAAGCAGGGAATTTAAATAGCTATCGGAATAGCTAGCGGCCGTTATATAGAGGTGAAGGTACCGTCCAAAATCAATATTTCATGACGGTTATACCCTTAATGACCATAATAGCACCTGCTATTACCGTAATCGCGACAAACACAATGGAACCTAACATGCAACAACAAACACAATTTATATCCCTGGTCCACCTATTGATGTAAGTACCTCCGAAGATTAAAGGGCATTTTACTGGTTCATCAACGCAGTACTTGTGCAATTCATTAGCTACTTGAGCGACCTCTTGGTGCTGGTTTGGGGTGAGTGTAACTCCACCATCCGTTTGCGTCACCTAATCCACAGTTGAGTTCAATTCAAAACTCAGGAGGAAAGAACGAAAGTAATAATAAATAATTGATGGAACCAAAACACACAAGTAGAAAGAAGAAACCTTGGAGAGAATAGAAGCAACGAGATCATCGGGGCGACTGGAGATGGAAACGGCACTTGAAGAAACCCTGAAAGTCTGGGATTTGAGGGGAAATGAAGTGTGGGTTAAGGATAGATTAAAGGGTTTTGATGCAAAGAATGAGGGTTTAGGGCGGGTGAAGGAGGATGATAGAGTGAAGGAAGAAGATGCTGCCATGGACGGATGATACGAATGACTCCCGGAAGGCGCAGGCAGATGATTTCCAACATGAGATGATAATACAAGAGAAGATATGTGGGTGGCTTTGAACCACCAGTTCCTCATCCCCCCCCCCTGTGTCTGTTAAGAACTGGATTACATGCTGCCACCTATGCATAGAGTTTGGCATTATTCATACGTTTATTTCAATGTAGTTAATTTTTCTGAAAAAAATATAATAAGAAAAAAATAAGAGAAAATCGCTTCAGTGACCAAAAATACCTTATAATATACGATTTTAACTAACTTTTTTTGGATTTGCCAAAATGACCAATAAAATCGCAACGCGATATCAAAATCGCAATGCGATTTAGAAAATCGCAACGTTAAAAAGAAAATCGCAACGGTCAAAAGAAAATCGCAACGCGAGCTTCCAAGTTCGCAACGCGATTTAGAAGAAAATCGCAATGCGATTGATAGAATCGGTCATTTAATGTTTTATTAAGTTTTTATTTATCCATTGAATTTTTAAAAATAATAAATTAGTCACTAAAATTATCGATTTATTACAAATCGGTCATTTACCGTTACCAGTTGTTACTGCAATAACGAAATACTGACATGGCATGTTAAACCAATTGAGTCAACATGTTTAACCTACCTTTTGACTTCTTCTTCTCCTCCTCAACAGACTCCAAATACTAGAGCAACCTTTTCTTCACCTCTATTGATCATGGTTGTTGTCCACCATCAACCTCTATTTTGGGTAAATCTTCTTTCACCCCTCTGCATTCATGTTGTCTTATTATCTCGTTTAACCTTATCAATAAGTTTTATACTTTTGAATTTTAAAAGGGTTCCCTTTCTCCCTTTCTTCCTTTCTTTCTTGGGTTCATTATGGACTAAAAAATTTCTTTCCATGTAAATCTTTTTTCTTTATGTTCTTGTAATATATGGTAGTAGTAACTAAGATTAAGCCTTTAAACAGTTTAAAGGTTTATTAGCATGTAACGTGAGGGGCCAATAGGAAATGGTAGAGATTATTTGGAAAGGGACAAACGCCGCAATGCTTTATATGATGATTGTTTGAAGATTTACAATGTAATCGTTATTTTGAGGGTAAATTACGTCAATGGTCACTAATGTTAAGGTAAGTGTTCGTTTTTACCACTAATATTTAAAAGGTCACAAATTGGTCACTAGCGTAATCATTTGTTACAAAATGATCCCTCGACGTTACCAGTGTGATAGAAAACACATTTGGATCGTTATCTACTGAGTTTGATCGTTGATCGCCATTTTGACTGGCTCTTCTTCTTCAACCCATTCCCATATTCTTCTTTTCTTCTTCTTCTTCACTTTTCTTCTTCTTTCTTTCTCTTCACTTTTATTTCTTAATCATTGCAAAGCTAGGGGTGAGCCTCTAACGCCCTCCCTGATCCTTGACCCTCCTTATACAGGTGTAAGACTCAGAGAGGGACCGTGACTCAACCTATAAATGTTGCATTGTCTGCATTTGATGCCGACATTGATTCATGAAGATTTCTCCAGTGCATTGCTCAGGTTTCTTTTGTTTTTCTATCTTCTTATTTTTCATATATAACAAAAAAAAAGCTATATAGTTTTGGTTTTCATTAGTTATGATAGTGATTATGAGTTTGAAGTGAGAATGGTGGAGAGATCTATATAACTTCTGTATAATACTAAATTGTATAATTTGACTGGTATTTCTTGCATAAATTGTTGAAAGCCTAGTGCAACTAATTCGTTGGACTGAGATCTAACTTCCATGTCCGCAATTACGAATGATTTTGAGTTGATTCTTTTTTTCACTTGCTAGTTGTTATGATATACTCCTTTCGATCCCGATCATGTTACTATATTTTTCTACACGTAGAGAATATTTTATGTTTATACTTATGTTGACGAAGGGATCGGGAAGGTGTGAATGTCCGGTGAGGATCACACTCTCGAATCTTGGATCCTATGAAGGTATTTATCGTTATCGAAATGAGTTAAGTACTAAGAGATGTATAGTTGGTTCGTCTGTTAAGAGCCTGAAAGAAATCACAACGACGTCTCGGCATAAGTTGATACGTTGCTCCATCTTCGACCCTCAGAGGAAAAGAGGAAACAACGGAAAAGGAAATCATCAGCTTGTGTTCTGAGTTTTTGAATGCTGGAACAGACACTACTTTTACTGCTTTGCAGTGGATCATGTTGAACATGGTGAAATACCCTCATGTTCAAGAGAAACTATTCATGGAAATCAAAGGGGTAGTGGAAATCAAAGAGCTTCAAGAAGTAGAGACATGGTGATGATGATGATGAAGCAAGTTTCCATGTTTGGTTTGGCCTTTGGAGGTGAGGGTTGTGTCATGTGCGTGATAAGAGAAAAAGAAGAAAAGTTAAAGAGAAAGAAAGAAGAAGAAAAGTGAAGAAGAAGAAGAATATGGGGAATGGGTTGAAGAAGGATAAGAGCCAGTCAAAATGGCGTAAACGATCCAACTCAACAGATAACAGTCCAGCTGTTTTTTCTATCACTCCTATTAACAGATATTAACGTCAAGTGACCATTTTTGTAACAAACGATAATGTTAGTGACCGATTTATGACTTTTTAAACATTAGTCATAAACACAAACACTTATCTTAACATTAGTGACCATTGAAGTAGTTTACCCTTATTTTTATAAGCATCATCATTCAAAAACAAAAAGGAATTAGATCCAATGCAATGCCCATACAAATATGAAGTGCAAAAATATATTAGTTGGTTTTAGAACTCAGAAAGGAATGCAAAATGGTTTCGGATCCAACATATGGATCACAGGCTTGCTTAAGAATAACATAAAAGAAATAGTGAAATCGGTTTAAAGGCTTAATGAAATTGCTAAACTGCTAGGCATGTGATATAAGTCATGAGACATGCATTGCAGGTTTTGATTTCCAATATTTGAGGGATGAGGCAACGTCTGTTACAATTGATAAGATTAACTATGACATAACTAATGAAGTGTGAAGCTAATTTGAACCCAAGCTTAAACAATGCCAGAGTAGAGGCAATATACTTCATTGCAATTTTATTATTTCACATCTATTCTACTTAAACAAGGACGTGAAATATTGTTTTTATTTGCAAATTGTATGGTTTTAAAAGTTTCAAGCACAATTCATGAATCATATCAGACATCATTAGTTTCTCGAGCAAAGAAGAAGAAGAAGAAGAGCCAAACCGTCGGTCAAACATGCTGAGTCAGTTGGTTTACATGCCAAGTCAACATTCCTTTAATGCAGTAACAATTATTAACGACGAGTGATCGATTTGTAACAAATCGATAACGTTAATGGTCAATTTTTACTTTTGAAACTCTAGTGGAGAAAACAAAAACTTACTAAAATATTAGTGATCGTTTGTGTAATTTACCAAAAATAAATTTGTTAATATAATTATTTTTTTATTAATATAATTTATTATATATTATTTTAGAAAATAATTTAAGATCTAATTTTTTATAAATTAATTTTTGATTTTTCTCTTTAAAATATAAATATTTAAGATAATATTATTTAATATATTTAACCCCTAGATTCGGCCTAGAAGTTACGATATAATCTTAAAGGTCACATTCACCAAAGTGCTACAAAAATCAATTCAAAATTTTTTAAAAATATAAAATCAAATTTCCAAATAATTATACAATTATTATCACTTTACCATAAAATTAATTTTAAAAATATAATTTAAAAAGTGAGACTCCGATCCTCGAGATGTCGATCCCATATAACTTATAAAGGGAGAAATAAAGGGGGTGGGCATATATAGCTTAGTGCGGTCAAAATGTGTGGATAGACAGAATATATAGGAAATATCAAACAATCATAATTACAGTTCGAGTCATAACATTCATGGTACGATTAGTATGCAAATGTAGTTGGACTCATACACCTTACACCATCCGAAAAGTAGATTCCCTAGAACCACTCTAATTACAACATACCATTCAAAGTGGGATCTGTCACAAAGGCTGAGGTCACTGAATTCGAAGTGAAATTCACCCCATTGGGTGAACACACTGAGATCAATCCCAACCTAGTATGATATGATAACATATTTTATACGAATTCTGATTTGATTGACATTTGAATGTAAGAATATTACATATACAAATAATCCAAATGCATCACATAAATTCTAAGTTCAACATATCATGATATCACGTAGCATTTTTCGAATAAATATGAGATAATCAATTATCGCAAATCAATCATGCTCTCATGTTAACAACAATTATGTCAAACAATTAGAACAATAGAGAATTTAGCAATAAGTGGAGACACACAAAGATTCAGTAACATCACAACGACATCAATCAGAATTTAATTCTTTCACATTCATCAAAAAAATTATTAAACAGAATTACAACGGTTGTAGCATGGTAAGACACACACCTGATTAAAACCATTAAAAGGAATGTCAAAACTATAGTCAAATCAAAATTCTACATGACCATCATTTTCATTTGAAAGCAAGATCAAATCGGTTGTGAACGGAGCACTAATTGAGCGACCTCAGTGGTAAAAGAATTATTGTTATTCCTTGAGGCCTCGGGTTCGAGCACTAAAAATGCTATGGGTGTGAGCATTTAATTTCAAATAATGGAGGGTTATCCTTGAATATATATTATCTTGTACTTACCTTAGATTAATAAAAAAACTTAAATATAGTATTTTAATATATTAATTATTATTATTATTATTATTATTATTATTATTATTGTAACGCCGCAATTTTTGGGTTATGAGTTTGGGCCAACCCGAGAGAGAATTTAATAAACTCATTAGGCTTGTGAGAAACCCATGGCCATTTGTGGAATAGTTTGGGCTTATGTTGAGCCCATTTAAGTCTAGAAAGAGGTGTCTTTGAAACTAAGATAAACCAGGAAAGATCACAAGAGAAATTAACCCTTAAACTTTTTAAAAGTTGAAAACTCATTAAAACTTGGTGATGTAAACATGCACTCTTCTTTTTCTTCATCGTTTCTTGTCTTCTTCCTACCATTTTCTTCTCCATTTTCTCTCTTGTGAATGCCATCAAAGAAAGAAACTTTTTAGTCCTTTCTTCCTAGCCTAAATTTCTAAAGGTAAGATTAGAA